ATCGAAAAGACAAACATTGCAACGTTGCGCGGCTGTCTCTGTCCGAGTGGCTGCAGGTTGGCGCAGCGGCTCACGCTCGTGCCTCACAGCAAGGAGGAGCTGTGTGCGACGCTCGACTCGGGCGTCGTTGTGGTCTTCTCAGGTTTCCTGCCGTGACTAAATGAATAGATGATGACGTTTCCATCGCCACACAAGCAACCGTCTCACCTGAAGATGGCTGCTTGTGCGGCGATCAAAACGCCGTGATCTATTATTATTTTCTACCTACGTGACTTTACTGAAAGAACTAAAGAGTAAGAATGAATTTTTGATTTAAAGCTTTTGTGACCGCAGGGATTCATATTCTTGGTTCTTTCAGTAAAGTCGCAGGATACGAAAGAACCAAGAATATGAGTGAGAATGAATTAATGTTGAAGGGATCCCATGAATAGTTTCGTGCCATCGCCTTCTCTGTGCCGTTCTTCAACACGGGCTTGTTGTGCGTGATCTCCGAACGAATACGACACCGATAGCCAACTTGGGAAAATAAAATTGGGTAAAAAAAATATATCAATAAGTCCGTCCCAGTGTGCATGTGGCGTTAAACCAAAATCTCTCACGAGATTACATTCCCACGCTCGGAATGCTTGGAAAGGTTATGTTGTGATTTATTTTGTATTGTTTAAAGTTGGTAAACCCCGTGCAATCCCATGTATCCCTCTTTACACATCGACAACGTAACTCGCCTTTTAATGACCTTCGAACCGTCACTCTGGTTTGCGTACAGATCACGATTGTTATTTTATTTTGCATGACGGAAATCGCTGGATAAAAACCCGGTTAAAATTGGTTACCGGGTTACAATAAATACCCCCAAAAAATATATCTAGGGCAGTAAACATTGGGCGTTTAACCTTTTTTATGTTTTAAAACAAATAAACAAAGGGATCTGCCGTGGTGTTAATGACCAACACACCGGACTTGCAATCCAGAGATTGCCCGGTTCGATTCTATCTCCCGGTGCGGCAGCTGAAAGAATGGTGTGGAATTGATCAAATCCGCCCCCCACCCAACACACACACACACACCCTTTGTTTCGTAAGAGGCGTTCTGATAACCACGTGCGTTATAAGCAGTGCACATTGTAAAGTTGTAACGATTCGAAAATACAAAAAAATAAACGCATGGCAGGGTTCTGTTCGCTAAACCGCAGTTTTAATAACTTAGAAGCAAATGCACACTCGTACTTGAGGCACATCAGAAAATTCAAGTTCATCGTTTTCTTTTTTTCGTATGGCATTGTGAAAAGCGACAAGGTTAATTTGTTTAACATTTTTTTCTTAACGATCGTCATAAATAAATAAATGCAAAAGTTCATCATCCAGTCTAACCGATGGGGGTTGACGCAGTGTGGATTTCGGCAAAACCGATATCGCGATACTCGTCAAATTTAATATCGTATTAGTAAATAATAATAATAACTAGCATGTTTGCCAGTCCTAGGACAAAAGCTGTAATATTTACGAAACATTTGAGCAGAGTATCATTGTATCTCGTGTAAATGTAATGGCAGTGAATCTTGCACAAAAACTAAGTCATAAAACGCCTGACTTCATGTCACTGTATATAGCACTGTATATAACTGACCTTCAATTTGTTCAAATTCACTGCTCCGATACTTTATTCTCTTTTGTTTCGGTTGCTGTTTGAAATGAATTGGAAATCGATACAATATCTGCAAAATCACCGAGAAATGTCTCCATAAAGAGGGGGCAATTTGCGCCCAAACAAATTAAATTAATTTAGGTGCAGTGCTCTGAGACTTACTTATGCTGTGCTGTAGATCGCCGGAGTAGTCAAACCATTTGAATAGGAGGCGATGGTGGCAAAACAGCAGTTACATTTTTATTTTAGCATAATTTGCAAGCGTAAAGTTGACCTTGCTTTAGTTTGACGTGGCGAAGAAATAAATACATGAAGGCAGAAAATGCAGCGGGATGTGGCGTGGAATTGTCTGCTTTGCTCTCGATAAAAAGGGGACAATGGACGTTAAAACATGTCATTTGTGCCTAAACTAAGTCTCATTTCCACTCCACGTTTCTCCTTGCGGATTGACGTCAGTCGTTAACGATGATAAATTAGCCGACTGTAATTGCGGGGAATATTGGCAAAAAAATGTCCATGAGGGGCCGTCCATAAATGACGTCACGCACCTGGGGGGTGGGGGGGGGTCAGACATTTGTGACGATGTGTGACGAGGAGGGGGGGGGGGATTTGAGAAATGTGACGTCACATCAAAATGCGCAACTTTAAATAAATATAGACAACACGTTCTACTTAATTAAATCGACTTTTTAATAAATGTTTTCTCCTACAACATCAGAGTGCAGCGCCACATTAAATACGCACTGCAATGACAATAGTTTAAAGCGATTTGAAGCATGTTTAATATATATTTTTGTGGGGGCAGAGCTTGGTGACGTCATATTTGAGGAGGGGGGGGGGTCTGAGTTTTTGTTACGCCGTGTGACGACGGGGGGGGGGGAGGGGGGTCAAAAATCGTCCAAAATCGCGTGACATCATTTATGGACGGCCCCTAAAACACCGTACTGCATGTAACTGTAGCACTGCATTAATGTGAGTCATTGTTGCACAAAAGGAAGCCATAAAACACCTCGCAGCGCATTCGACTGCAGCACTGCAGTGATGGCAGTGATATAATAATAGGGGTTTTCCCCTTTTTTCTGGCAACAAAACTGAAACCTTTTTACAAGGATTCATGTTACTGCATTAACCACAATACCTGCAGTCAAATGCAAACAAAACATACTATGATAATATATGATGCATTGTCCTTGAAACTGATTGGTCCACACCAAGGGACGGCTTTCTTTTGAGCCTCGACCCAATTGGTGCTCGACCAGATGACGCCAAAAGGCGTACAGCTCAAAGACTGCACTATCAAAGTAATGAGGGCTCAGGGTGAGCATCTACATCATTAGACCTCCTTTGCCAGTACCAAAATATAACAATAGGGGTTTTCCCCTTTTTCTGGCAACAAAAATGAAACCTTTTAACGAGGATTCATGTCTGCATTAACCACAATACCTGCAGTCAAAATGCAAACAAAAAAAACATACTATGATAATATATGCATTGTCCTTGAAACTGCTCAAAAGAAAGCCGTCCCTTGGTGTGGCCCAATCAGTTTCAAGGACAATGCATATATTATCATAGTATGTTTTTTGTTTGCATTTTGACTGCAGGTATTGTGGTTAATGCAGACATGAATCCTTCTAAAAAAAGGTTTCAGTTTTGTTGCCAGATAAAAGGAGAAAAACCCTATTGTTATATTTTGGTACTGGCAAAGGAGGTCTAATGATGTAGATGCTCACCCTGAGCCCTCATTACTTTGATAGTGCATTGTCTTTGAGCTGTACGCCTTTTGGCGTCATCTAGTCGCGCACCAATTGGGTCGAGGCTCAAAAGAAAGCCGTCCCTTGGTGTGGACCAATCAGTTTCAAGGACAATGCATATATTATCATAGTATGTTTTTTTTTAAGCTTTCGAGACTGCAGTAATTCATATTCTTAGCTCTTTACCGAAAGAGCTAAGAATGTTTTTGTTGTTTGCATTTTGACTGCAGGTATTGTGGTTAATGCAGACATGAATCCTTGTAAAAAAAAGGTTTCAGTTTTGTTGCCAGAAAAAAGAGGAAAAACCCTATTATTACATTTTGGTACTGGCAAAGGAGGTCTAATGATGACGGCAGTGATTGTTTCACGCAACAATTTGATCAAACAGCTGCCGCGGTGCCGCTGTGCCACTGCATTAAACGGGCGCTCAAAGAGTTGAGGTGCAGTGCTCTGAGACGGAATTGTGTTCCGCTTTAGCTCGCCGGAGATGCAAACAATTGTAATTGGGAGTCAATAGCTGCAAAGCAGCTGAAAAATCCATAATAAAGGTTTTTGGGGTTAGATCGCGTTATTTATTAATGTCGTAACCCTCCACCACCCGACACGGCCAAACAGTAAACAAATGTGTCACGTTTACAAAAGACAAAATAGTTCGCTACTTTAGCCCACCGGTGTTTTGAAGAATGAATAATATCGGTTCGCGAAAGCCAACGCGTGTTTCAGCTGAAACATGTTGATTTTAGCATGCATTTTTTTTTATTTCAGCAATAATTTTGAAGTGTGAATTAGACCTACCCTCTTGTTAGACGTGGCGAAGAGCGGAATTGAAGCCAGGAAACGCAGTGCGATGTGCCGTTGCATTAATGTTACGGTTAACTCTCCATGAGGATGGGTGAATTGGCGTTACAAAAGCAGCAATAGTCGCTCCAACTTCCTCAGCGTTCGTAGTGAAATGCAGCGATACGTGAATATTTATGAGGTGGGGGGCCGCATGTGGAGTCACGTGACACGCGGGAGAGACACACACACTGACGTGTTTGGCACACGTTACATAAGGTGACGCGTAGATTACTTTATATAAGTGGCAAAGTGCAAACGATTGTGCCTAAACAAATGTTAAGTTTCCGCTCCACATTTCTTCTTGTGGAGTGACGTCAGCCGTTAACGACAATTAATGACGCGCGGAGGGGGGGTACCCAATATGGAGTGACGTCAGCCGTTCATGATTATTAATTACGAACAATAATCCATTTTCAGGACGGAACCTGCTAATGAATATTAATGAGGGGGGGGGGGGGGCTGGTCGACGTGGAGTGACGTCACGAGCGTTAAGGACATTCCTGGGTGATTATTGAAGGTATAATCTCATAATCGGAACCCCGAGTTGTTACCCGTGAGCCGAATTCTTTGCGAGTGACCTATTCGGGTAAACATAAATGAAATAACCCGGTGCATTCAGGCGAGAGAGAACGTGTTTCATTACAAAATGTCTTAGATGTATTGTAAATATCGCGGTGGAAGCGAGCGGTGCATAAGCGCGCACACACACACACAAAACTCCAAAGCTCGCCCGCCATCCAGAAGGACCACTGCCCGAAACGTCACCACGTTATATATTTTAATTTCAGACCAGTTGGCTGTTGATGAGCCGTCTCCTACGCGCGCGTTTCGCAAATCTGCGGTGCAGATGGGCCCGTTGCGCAATCACCCACAATCAACATCGCGCCGCCCGCCGGCACACTTCACTCACCGCGCGCGCCCACGTAGTGGTGGTGGTGGTGGAGGAGATTGGGAGATGTGCAAAGCTGGTGGTTGTAATTCGCGAAGGTTTGGAGCCGCGAGCGCTTTTGGGTGGAGGAGGGTTACAGTCAGCAGCAGCAAAAAAATAACCACGTGCTAAGGGTGGGTACCGATGCGTTGCTTTGGAATGCGAGCAGCAGGTGCCCGCTGGAACCATTCCAATGTTCCCCTGGTTGCTGGAATGAGAGTTAGGGCACAGCGCCCTTCAAGAGGCGATAGATCATCACTTCCCCTTCATTTAAAGCAGGTGAGTGTGCGTGTTTGTTTCACAAAGGGACGCCCGAAAGCAGTAGTGGGGGCTAATCATAAATACCAAACTCAAGAAAAAGCAAAAAAAAAACCTTGAGTTCCAACCACTTCAAGAGAAACCTTAAAATGCATTTAATGAACACAGTGTGACCGGACAGCGATGCGCATTGGAGATGCTATGAGCATGATTTTGCGTTTCTTATATGACTACTTACATTATACATTGCCGTGCAGGGGCATGCGTAAGCGCGTGTCAAACCCACCAAGATGCGTGCAGCCTTGGTCCCCAGAGGACTGTTTGCAAAAGCAGTTGCCCAGAACCTTGTGAAGTATGTGACTGGTGCAAGTTGATTTATTGAAACCAACTCGACAACCGATTCAACTTTCTCTCTCGGTGTGTGTGTGTGTGTTTAGCTGTAACCGCGTGTTGTTTTTAGCACCTTCATAACGCGCGATAATAACGTTGGCCGACACCTTTTATACAGCGATGTCTTTAACATAATCGAGGGAGAACTGTGATCTGCTCCCGTCAGGTCATGAATAAGCACGTGGAACGAAACGTCGGACATCATGCCCAAAACATACACGTGGTACATGCCGAACAACACGTGGTACGACCCGAAAACACAGCGGAGAGCGACATGGTACAACCAAGCACAACCTACGCAGTACAGGGAGCTTCAAAGATTTTTAACTTATATGGGACTATCGATTTTTTTTATGGAAAAAGAACGGATAGCACACTCTAAATGATAACAAATGTAATGTTAATAGCTTCTTAAAGTGAAATAGTCTCCATCTGTTCGCCATCGTTGTCAACACGTGCCTGGAATCTTCTCCAGAGCCCGGAGGCACATTTCTCGTGGTGGTGTTGCAAATTCTCCCCAAGTGTTAACATTTTTTTGAAGCACTCTGTATAAGCTGTCCAAAACATTTCTTGCCATGATGAGATATGACTGTCATCATCCCTCACACTCGGCCGCCTTTGTCTTCCCAGCGCGGAAGTTCACCACCACCGCTGCCACATCAGCCATACCCACTTTAGGCTGAGTCGACCTAAGGGGAGGCTCACAGGCATATGCCAAACATGCATGAGATGGGATGAGTTTAACATCCCAATGCAGAGCACTCCTGACAAGCAAGTCTTGAAACGCAACGATGGGTTCCCAGGGACAATCTAATGGCATAATCATTATTGCTAAAAAAAAGGATTAGGTATTCATATTCAGGGAGGCTCTGCACCATTATCCAGGAGTCTAACCCAGGTGGTGGAGCTCTTTGCGTGGTGTTGCTTACCAATCACAAAGCCAACGCGCATACATTATGCAGAAGGGGTCGTATGAACTGATCGTTAGCCCTAATCAAGTCATGTGTATCGACAGACTGTAGCCATGCACGTGCGGTTATACATTTTAATTAACGCCCGCACGAAGAGCATTTACAAACTAATGAACGCATCGGGGTATAGTTGTTATAAAATACATTGTACGGGACTGGTGCAATAAACCCTGCCACGTATGTAATGATTTTAATGTTGTATACAGAACCCGTTTTTTTTTCACTGCTGAATGGTCTTCGCTATATGGAGAATTATTTGTTGATGCTGCGTTGGCAATGGTGAACAAGCACAATTAACAAATGCATCTCAACACGGTCATCAATAAATAACACCGTGGCCTTAAAATGAAGATTACGTAATCGGTCGCCAATTATACGTTTCCGCTCAAGGCCACGGTCTATATCATTGACGAATATGTTGAGTTGTATTGTTAGGAGGCTAATAGTGGGCACACTAAATGTAGTAGCATCGACAATTCAAATTATGTAACGCACTAATGGACTTCCATAAATGCATCAAGATGTAAATGTAATCAAAAGAACATCAAAAGTAGTCACACAGCAATTAAACAAACCCCGACAACCCGTGTATAGATACTAATTGTTTTTTTCGGTAATTTTATGCAGTCACGAAAGCTTTAATTCCGTGTAACGATGTACAAATCAAAAGCTTTCCTTACCCTCAGTGGTGGGGCTCAATTTCAAGACTCTTTTCATCACGGCGTAGTTTAACATTTCCAATCTTACCAGAGAAAATTACGGTACGAGTTCAATTGTATAATTGGTAGTGCTGGTAATCAGCATAATACGTGCAATACACTGTATGTAGAATGTCTTAGACGAAACTGCTTGTGTAGCTACACACAAATGCAGTGTTCCGAGGTGTACTGAGGGTTTGAAGCTGTTATTTGTAAGGGGAAAAAAGACAATAAAATCACGACGAAATAGAAGGTGGGACTGGTGATGCCACGAAAAATAATCCTAATAATTCCTGTTTTCTTTTCTCTCATTAATGAACCATCAAACTCTTATCGAAAAATCCAGGACACAGCCTAGGCGTGTCTCTACAATATTACAGCTATTCATCATTTGGGTTGCGAATTCATGACACGTTGTTTTTTTTAAATCCTACAATCCACCACGCCACGGGGCTGAAATCTTTACCAGTGACCTTCACTCAAATGTTAAATTGCTTGAACTGCACATTTTCTTGGCCGAATGCGGGACGTTAAGACCGCGGGGTTGAAAAAGCCTGACACCGACATTGGAAGGCGGCCAAGGGATCGGGATGATGTTTACTTTGCGTTGAGACCTTTTCGTGCTGGCAGTCTTGGCGCAAGCGGCCAAGATTAATCGTCTTCCACGCTCCCCCGATCCACGATTCGATAAAACCAACAAAAAACAATAGCTCTCTCATCTTGTATGTGCGCGCACACGCGCATACCCAGGCTGTCTGTGCCCCGCTGCGCGGGTGGGGGCTCCATTTAATTGACAAGTTACAATGTACGATATTCTTCGGATTATAAGACCCCCCCCCGACACCCTATCCATATTTTAATATGGATAGGGGGGTACGTCACAAAATCCAGGCACGTGTACGACAAGGATTTGACACCGGTACAAGGTTTGTGTTGTCTTACAATCCAGAGAACATAGTGTAATGTGTCAATTATAACTCCAAAAGCTCAGATATTTAAGGAGCCACTAAAAGTCTTATTACATGATTCAACATTATGTTAACTTTTTTTGTTGTGCCTTAATGTTGTAACTATGTGGTGACCCTTTATTTCATACCCATTTCAAGTAATGTTCATCACTTTCGTAATTGTCACGTATTATAGTCACGTTATTAAAAAAAAATACGCAGGACCCTTGTGTGCAATATGAATGTTTTAAGCCCGCAAAATTTTGTAAATAATATTATCATCATCATCATCATCATAATTTCAACTTGTGACGCGCTGCCCGCACAGCAATTTGCTCGCTTTCGAAGAAGACTCCGAGGCGCGACGAGGAACCGCAGACGAGTGGGAAAGGCAGCAGCCACACGGCGAACCAGCGCCAAATTCACCTCCTCCCCAAAGTTCCGCGGGCGGTCGGCTACACATTAAGGCGTTTTCGACAATTTTAAGAGTGTTCACATGTACAGGCGTATGCTTGTCCCCTTTACAGCACCTTCCGTTGGAAATGCGATGCGAATATATTAAAAAAAACCTCACAGGAGTGGAATAAAGTATTTCGGTGCGTGTGAAGTGGCACAACAAAGGCATTGCTGACTGCAACTGTGAAGAAGCCTTCGATTAAAGAAGCGTACAATTCGTATGGGGCTGCCTGTGGCGCACAGCACAAAAATGTGTCGCTACAAGATGAGAGCCTCTTGGTTTTATTTAAGTTTGGTGGGGGGAGGGAGGAGGGGGGGGAGGGGATGAGGAGGGGATGGAGGCCCCCTTTTTAAGCAGCACCAGCAGGTGGATGAGTGCACCACCAGGATGGAATGGAGCTGCGTTGTCCTGGTGTACAAATGCCATAGAACTGGAAGGTGCAGTGATGATAATGCAGTACAGTACATATATTTATATTGAACACACTTATATGGCTGTGTTAACATATTATATAAAACAACCTGAAACTAAGATGATCTTTTCTCGATTTAAACCAAATATGCACCTTCAATGTTAGATTTGCTTTAACTGCAGATATTCTCAATGCCAAAATGTACAGATACATTGCCTTTAATCCATTGACTATTTAGCAATGCAATAAAATCTTATTGTTTGCATCGCTTAAGAGTAGACCCAATGAAGTTGCCTTTGCTATATATGGTATCACGTGTGTCAATGGACTTAAGATTGGACAGTTCAATAATAATCCTTAATCACAAAGCCTTGAACAAATCTTGGCAGGGCATAATTTATGTACACACTTAGTAAAACAGATTATGTGGACATACGGAGAAAGTTACAACATGCGTCTCACATAGAACCAATCTGGTCATACAGACAAATGCTGCTTCTGGGCACCTATAAACCAGTGTGTATTCTGATCGTTTCAAATTAATAACCCAGTGCATTTTGCAAATAAATGATAACTTTTACAGACAATGTTATATCACTGCATGTTTACATTTACTCGCAGGGCAAAGTAATATCAGCACCCTCCTCGCAAATTTTTCAGATTTTAGTAAGGGGTAAATGTACCCTCTTATTGCATATACAATACAGTGAGATACAGTACATCGGAGAATGACCGACAAAGCACAAGCGTAGCTGTGAAAACACCATGCCTTTTGAAATCACGCACAAGGAGCCAGCAAGGAGTAAAGCGATGTCGCATCCGTGAGAAAAAATTTTTTGTCTAGTTTTAATGTCAGAGAAGATTGAATGTGTTCACCACCCACGACTCCATTTTAGCCGAGTTCGTACAGGCGATCGCTTGTGCACCTTCACGTTCCAGCGCTCGTATTCCACAAGTCGGCGTGCGCGCGATGCCACTAGTCCCATACACTCTTTAAAAAAATCTGCCATGCTGTGCAATTAAAAACTTTGTCACTTTTGCCTATGTGGCAGCGAAGTGAAAAGTACCTCCAGGTTTATCCGTTTGAATGGCTCCCTCTTTTGGAAGGCACCAAAAAAAACCCACTTGGGTGGCGCTTGGATTTGCGATCAGCCACTCCAGTTCACGAGAAAAAGGAAATTTTCCTGCGGTTCATGCAAATGCGTCTCATCAAGGTCTACCAAAATTAAAGGTCTAACTTTGCAAAATCTGGCACACAAAAAGGTTGGAAGACGTGAAAAGTGTTGTCATGGGTGGACCAGGGGCAAAAATGGGACTTTGTTAATGACACAAATGAGGAAATATTTTGGGAGGTGCCTTGAAAATAAGTGCATGAAATGTTGGCGAGACTGATGGCCTTCATTTTCACATACCAACACTGGCTTAAATCTACTCCCAGACAAGCAGCAATCACAGTTAGCCTCATCGACCCTGCATCAATTACAAAAGTTGGTTTTGTTTCACGATTGACATGTCTTACCATGCTAATACTTAATAACTCAATGGTTATTATTTCACTGCGTAGTGCTTGTCCCCCCATTTCATTGCGCGTGTGTTTTTTTTATGTGCACAGAAGTCACACAATAAACTGTTTGGGAAATATTTAATATAATGTTCTGAACTCAAAACACCTAAATGTTTCCGAAAGCTACAAATGCTTGAGCTTTAAACATTTACTCGTGAATTACAACGGGGAACGTTTCTGGGGAATTATTTTAGCGTTTAAAAAAGGTAAGTTCGACAGGAAGTCGCACATCCACAAAATTCAAAATGCCAGAGCCCGTATACGGTAAAAAAAAATAAGCACTTGACTATGCATTGCACCAGTTTATCATGTGGCTCTGTTCCATATGGGCGGTGGAAGTCGCTTGTCCCAGATCAGCATGACTCAATGTAAATAGCAAAAACATCCTAACAGCAATATTAAGTGCTAGAAGTCTGCAATTACAGTTATTCAATTTTATTATATGCTATTACATTTAGTTCCACTTTATTACACTCGCTAGAATAAGTCGCACACCAACACATTTTGGCATTTTTGGCGTTCGCACGGCCAAGCCAGTTTAACGTAAGCAGATTTTCTTTTGGCAGGTCCAAAATAGACCATGATTACGAGGCATGCCACAAGGGTGGAGGATATTTTACTTATCTCAGCCAACGTACAACTAATATTTAAAATGGTTTTGGTTACCAAATTTGCTCAGTGAAGTTGGCCAGATTGGCATGCGGAAGTACGAGTGGCTTGCAATCGGAAGGTTGCGAGTTAAAATCTTCGTGAGCAGTTGGTTCAGCCCATCGTCCTCCCAGGATCAAAATAGCTATGCACTCAGTGATGAAGTCAACAGTAAAAACTAAACATTGTTTTTATTTTACGAGGTAAAGCCCAATGAGCTATATAGCTTTTTCAGAAGTGACCTGGCCACAAATAATAGCTCAACGAAGTGGTTTATCACGTGGAAATTTATAGCAGCCAAATATTCTAAACGCACGTTTCTAAATGTGGAGGGAAAACACAGAGTGGTTGCCCTATTGGGTAGACTTGCCCCTGACATAGGGATGTGTAATTTCCACCACCAGCTCAGCACTGTAAAATTGGATGAGAAGAAACTAACTTCGAACTGGGCAAAAAAATTAACCGATCCAGTGAACAGCGTCGGCGTGCGTGTGCAATTCAATTCCAGCATGTTACCAAGGTGGCATCTCTAAACGTCGATGGCTATGATGATGGCTTCACGGGTAACCCCTTCCGACTTCGACGTCTCATCCCAGAACCAGCGTCGTGAAAGCCGGCCGAGGCTGTTCAAACGTGCGTCATGTGAACCAGCGCGGCCAAGCGTGAAGCAATCGGCAGAAAACGATGTTGGGTGAGAGCGCACACAAACTGTGTCCGGAGCACCCCCAACGCAGGCTCGGGTGAAAGTGCGCACTTGGGATCGTTTAAATAATGTGCAACATCCGCAACGTTTGCATTCAAAGCGCAGGAATGGGTGGGAGGGATTGGGGTGGGAGGCAGGGGAGGTGGTGGGTGGGTGGGTGGGGGGGAATAATCGCACATACCCTGTAACTCGCCAAATGACGAGACGCACCAACACACGCCGCAGTGCCAGAAACGTAACACGCATAGCGACTTCCCCGTGCAAGTTCCTAAATCAGACGATAGAGCTCAAAATAAGTTAGTGATTCAAAAGTAAACCAATCGGGGAATTAGAAAAGTAATGAAATAAAAAAGAAATACAAGTTTATTTATGTAAACCAAAAGAAATACTTAATTTACAAAATTTAAATGAGATTTAAATGGTAGTGAAGCGGTCAGTCAAGCAGTGACGGGTCACTATCTAGTCTTGTCTTGGTATTTAAGCCTCGTTCGGAAATTATGAAAATGCATCGAAGTCTATGGCTATCCAGCTGCACTTTTCTGATCCTCAAGATTCTCGGGAAGCTTAAAGTCATGCAGAAGGCACTCACTGCACTATACACGCTTGTTAACGGCATCCAACACGCCAGCCACCTCACACACTCGTGCGCTGTAATTATTTTTTCCATATATATAGCGTATGTATAGTAGAGAGATATAATGCGTGTAGCTCGCTTGTGTTCCGTTTTTACGTGAATTCCATGTGCGCTGGCACAGCGGCACTGCCTGCATCCTGGCTCTCCATCTCCTCCGGTTCCTCATCCGCCACCATCTTCCGCTCCGTCTGCCTGGGTCTTGTCACCACCTCCTCCTCCTCCTCCTCCTCTGCCACCGCCACCGCCGGGTGGGGGTCCATCACCTCCATCGGAGTCTCCACCGCCACGCCGGCGAGCGAACTTTCGCCGTCTCGCCCGTCGCTGCAACCTTTACCATCGCTTTCAACTTCAGCGACTTCGTCGTCGTTATCGTCGTGGTCGTGGTCGTCGTCGTCGTCGTCGTCTTCTTCTTCACCAACTTGAGTGGCTGCTTTTCCCAAAGGCTCCGACAGTTTGTTGAGAACTTCCGGCTGGGTGAGGTTTCCCGATTTTCGCTCCGTGCGCTCCTGCCGCACGCTCGTGTCGCCGCCGCCGCCGCCGCCGCCGCCGCCGCTGTTGTCGAAGGGAGCGCCGGTCGCGCTAGCCTGAGCCGGAGAACGAGGAGCGGCTGACCGCCGAGAGCCCGGTGGAATTTGCTCGTCCCTGTTCATCATGTGCTTCTCTACCGACGCCTGGATCGCGGAGACCATCTCGAGCAGGCGCTGCCGCTGCTCCCCGATGGCGGCCTGGGAGATGGAGCTGCCGGTCGTGGCGCTACCGTCCGCCTGTGAGGTCGCGTCGGTGTGGTGCGTTGTGAAGCCTGGGCCGACCCGGACCGCGCGCCCCTCCGACTCCCTTGGGGCTGAACGACAAACACAAAATACAAAAGCGTGAAATTAATTCAGCAATAACTTTTTCTGTCGTTTCATAACCTTACTGCAATTGCGCTATATCAGCTTCACATCATGTAACAAAGTATATACGGAAAGCGGTGATATTTCCCCCTGCATTAAGAGAACTGCCCGCAGAAGCAGCACTCGCAGAACAATTATAATTTTTATCCGGATAAAATATTCGTTACGTGTCAATCAAAACAAAATGTTTGGTCCTCACAGATGGATATAGGCATAATTAAAAAAATAGCAACACATACTTTACATTGTACAGTGACTCACGATTGTGTTTTGATCATCAATCGCTACACCTGAGAGTCAAGTTTTTAATAAGAGCCGATGCCTGAATTAACACCGAGACACTCAGCGGCGCCGGCTTCTGCTCCGCGGTCCGCCGCAATATTGGCATCCCGAGCCACCCGGCACTGTCCCAAAACAAACCTCGTGCGGGCGACGATGACGAGGATAAGGAGCCCCCTCCACTGCCAGTCGCTCTGGACGACAACGCGCCGGGCGCTTGCTGCGTTGGGGGAGAATGCGCCGGTGCCGACACCAGGCTGTGCCCCTTGCCGTGGAAGGCGTGCACGTTGTGCTGCTGCTCCGAGCGGCGAACAATGGCTCCGCCGCTGCCAAGCTTCATGCCGCCGCTGCCGCTACTCCCGCCGCCCTGTCCTCCGTGGTGCGAAGGGCTACCCTCGCGACTCCTGAGGGTTTGTGACCGGCAGTTGCACGGTGGTGGACAAAGGGTGGGACAGATTGGGGGGATTGAAGAGGTGTTAATACTTTTAAGATAATAGCTGGCACCACGAGTGTCACATTATCGGCTGATAACATTTATTGTGTCAATTCCTTTGTGATAATTTGTCCGTGTGGAAGGAAACCAGATTGCACGTAGAAATGGACTTCCATATGATGTTGCTAGGTCATCATGTAGGTCTCTGTCTTCCCACCTTGCACGCAAATTCGTATCAGTATTTTTGCGGTATTATGTGTGATTCATGTGCACATACATTTCCTTCAAAATAACAAATGGCACAAGTATTTGAGATATTTATACATAAAGTGCATGTATCGTGAACACCAACTTGAAGACGTCTATTAAGGTATTACAATTGCAGGCCTACATTCTCTTTAGCTGAATAACAATACGCCAGACAATGGATGAGTTCCGCAAAAAACTCCCGAACCTTATGGGTCACTAGCTAGCTAGTGGATGGCCACATAGCAAGCGGGTTAATGAACCCATCGGTGTGGAACTTTAAAGTGTCATATCATCTGCATGCATGGACTTTCTCTGGGTACTCCAGGTTCATCCCACAATAAAAAAAATAAACTTTTCTTAAAAAACGTTTTTCCATACATCCCGATGCAGGACCCTCCTTGTATTGTCATGAGGCCTTCGGATTGATGGACCAGAACCAGTAATCCTCCATTATCTATTTCTGTCACGGACAAGCTGTTGGAATTGAATTCAGCTTTTGTGGACACATAGATGTGTATCTGAGTATCTCCACACAACACACGCTAAAGAACCAACTTTTTTGTAAACAGTTTCTAAGCAAGGGTCCAAAGCCCAAAAACATCAAGCGTCCAGTAACACACAGCACTATAAAAGCTGTAATATATAAGAGTGAACACGTTTCTAGACTTGAGTAAGGTTATAAGAGCTTGAGAAAACGGATGGGAAGGAATTCTGAAATCAAATCGTGCGAGCAAATAAGCAGAAAGTGCCTGCAGTTTAGTGAGTGGGTGGATGAGTGGGTGGATGAGTGGGTGGGTGAGTGAGAGGGTTAGTGAGTGGGTGAGCATGTGAGTGAGTGATAAGTGGGTGAATGTGTTGTTGTGACCTACAGTGTGGTGGCTGAACACAGTGCGGGTGAGGACGAGATGAAATATCCTGGTAGACCGAGCCCTCGACATCGGTGGAAGAATCAACGAGCGAAGTGCACGGGAAAAGTAACCATGTTCGTAGCAAAAGAAGAGTAATAAGATAATAAGGTGACTGACCGCCGGTGAGCGAGCGAGCGAGCGAGCGAATCACCGGGGCGAATCGGTGAGAACCGGGCATCGTCAACCGCGTCGCTCAATCGTGGCCCTCAATCATGCCCCACGTGTTGCGGGACACAAAGGGGTGGGCAACGTGCCTGCTCCACGCGGGCGTGCGGTCGTGGCGCGCTCGCGTCTCCAGGGCGGCCGCGACGTCACGGTCCAGCTCGGGCCCCACGGGGAAGTGGCCGCCGGGCTCCAGGCATAGCTCCAGGCGGTCGGCGTCGCCGTTGTACACGAGGGTCCGCCCCGGCAGCTCCGGCAGCGTCACGTGCTTGCCATCGACCAGCCCTGTTGCCATTATCGTCGCTCACGTCAACAGTTGATCATGCTCCCGCCCCAAAAGGGAGGAATAAAACCCGTACGTACGTGTGAATTCCCAGGATGCATTTGTCCTCGGAGGTGTTTAATTAGCGAAAATAAATGTTACCTTTCGAGTTGCACGGCAGCCAAATTAATCAAAGCACAACCCCTGAATCGATTTTAATTGAATTCAAATAAACAGTGCATTGGATTTGTCTGGTTTTCTAAAGGGCAGGTCCATAACAACGACGTACCTTTATACTAAAGTGTAATTCATTTTGGCTCATCTTTTACGAAAGTCATCGGGAATCCATGTTACAGACAAACATTCGGACAGAGATAATGCATTAACGCTTTCAAATTTCTTTGAAAATCATTAAAAAGGGCTGATTTCGCAGTTGCTAGGGATACCCCTGAAAAACACACGAGTAGCCCTTTGTTAATGCACTGCCAGATAAAGTTCTCCTCATGCCGCATCCTGCATCAGGATTGTTTGACCATACTTCACTACACTGGTCAGTGTCGTTTTGCAGAGGGTGCGGGTGTCCGGGCATCAGTTCAGAAATAATTTTCCACTGATATTAACCCTGGCTGGGAATCCAACTATGTCACCAGATTCACGGCAAATTCCACTAACCATGACATTGCCACTTGGCCTGGTAGGATGGGGATGGTTTAGTTTAATTTGTATGTTTGGGCGATTTGTTTATCTTTCTTATACTCTGCACTACTATCATGTTTTTTGTATTGTTTGTTGTTGTATCGTTCTTACCAAACCCCCTACTAGAGATCTGTGAAAAAACTGCATTAAAGCACATCATATTCCTCCAGTATAAATATTCAGATTCTGATAGCATCTTTGTTTCATCACTAAGCTTATACATTCACGATCCCACTGCAGTGCGTGCCTGCACAACAGCCACAGGCAACCAGGGCACGCACCAATGTCATTCCGCACTTTCTTGTAGAAAACCCCTCCTTGCTGAAAGAGGTAAGGCATCTTCTTCACGTACGACCACATGTCCTGGCCTGCAAAACAAAGCAGCAACCGCAGCAGCAGCAGCAGCACAATTATTGCGGAAATGCACATTTCCCGCAAACCATGTTCTGCAATTGAAACACTAAAATGATTTTTTTGGAAGGGGGAGGATAGAATGAAAGACAATGTGTGCAGAGGTAGGGGAGTCGGCAGTGTGGATGACCGGGGTGGGGAAGAGTTTCAGCAGCAAAGAAGGAGTGACGCTGAGTTCATGACCACGGGGGTTCATCTAGACAGTACCGCACACACCAGAAGTGAAAAGATAAGGGAAAGTGAGAATGTGAGAATGGCATACTTGGGAATGGCTGGGGTTAAATAAACAGCAAGAGGGCAGAGCACACAGCAAAACCAAACTACACCAGCCCCATTTGAAAATCTAAAAAGTAGGTGTAAAACCATGGTCACACTAGCCAATCAAACGTGACCTATCTCCAACACCCTAACCAAACCATATCAACCAAACACTAGTCCCACCTCTTATTCTAACCACATTAGCCGAACAGACCCTACCCACTAACTTCAACCATAGCCTGATGAGCAACCACATTTGCCAACCAGACACTAGTCCTATTAATCATCATCCTCAATCATGATCTCTCACACGTTTGATGAAGCGCTCGCCATGCCATCACCATCCATAATGGTCTTGTAATGCCACAATCAACATCGCTCCTGAACATGCACTCACCTAGTCTCTCCATAAGGCGTTTTCTCTCCTTTGGCTGATATTACATCACCAGTCTCGTCCATCAGCCATTATCATTTGTGTCCTGCCAAATTCATAACCCTAACAAAACTAGTCAACCAGACACTATCCTGACCCCTAACTCTAAACAACTGAATACATCAGCCAACCAAACCCGTAACCCCAACCGCACTGGCAGAAGAGATACCATTCCTACTCATAACCCGAACCAAACTAGCCAAGCAGACCCTATTCCTACCGCAAGTCCTAACTAAATAACCGTACAAGCCAACCAGACCCGGGACTTATAACTAACCGTCACCTAGATTAACCAACACGAGCCATACCCCCAGGCCACACTAACAAGCCAATAGGCCAGTGCGCCTCCTTACCATACTTGTTAATCAGAACAAAGCTCTGCCCGTAACTTCACGATCCCACTGGCCCCCCACATCTGTGCCTTCGCCTTGCCCACCGGTGAGGGTGACGAGTAGGTGCAACGACGACATTTCCAGGTCGATGTTTTCCCGATTGTCGAGCTCATCGGCCGACCCAGCCGGCCTGGCCCTGCCGGCCGGCGAGGGCGGACGAGCGGGGCCCCCGCCCGCGGTGACGTCGCGCCGCTCGGCCTGCCCGACGGGGCCGCTCCGGGGGGCCTGCGAGTCACCCGCTGGCGCGAGGGACTCCACGGAGATGCGCTCGCCGTGCTGCAGTGGCAGCGGCCTGTCCTCGTCGCCCGGAGCCGGCGCGCTCAGCTCGCGGGGCGGGAAACCGAATCTGCGGTCAGTCACGGATTGCGGGGTGGGGGGGGGGGGAAACGTCATCATTTTTTGGCGAGTGTGTTCCTGCAAAAACATCACACTTCCGCATTAAGAATTATTTACCCGGCAAAGCCTCCTCGAGTCTCAAGATGCTCTTTCAGGAGCGTTCTGCGTGAGGGATGTCTGATTATTACCACAAATGAGCACCTGTCACGTGGGCGGAAACTGGAGTATTCTGAGAGGATATAGGCATGCAAATGGTTCGGCATGTAAAGTTCTGCAACGGATGGCTTTTATGAACCTACTTGCTATACTGCCATCCACTGGCCAGCTCACAGCGCATAAGGTTTGGTAGTTCACTGTTCTGCACAACCCATCATCCTTTGCCATGGTTAACAGGTGGGCACCACTATGCCTGGCGTATTGTTATTCAGCTCAAGAGGATGTTGGCTTGTCATGTGTATTGCCTTCATAGACGTCTTCCAGTTTGTGTTCATGATAGATGCATTTTTTAAATAAACCTACTACACATACGAGAGTGACACTCACCACCTTCAGCCCCTGACCCTCTTCATAGCCTCACAGCTATATAATTTGTCCAGCACTGGTGGTCACCCATCCACTTACGAATCGGGCTCAACCCCAGTTATCTATCGAGATTCAATGAGCTCCAGCGCATTTAAGGTGCTGATTAATTTTATCTCACAATTTTACCACCTGCAGGATTCACCACTCTGATGCAGATTGCCATTTTAAAATTTCGATTCCCTCAAATAAGTTTCCAACTGGGTTCGCGTGACATTTTAGCAATGCTTGGAATCCCTTGAATCTATAACACCCGTGAAATGAACAGGCATTCGATGAATGATACTTAGGCGGTCAAAGAATGCCCATCATTTCCTTAATCTGTGCTCCTCAAGCTGAATAACGCCTCACTGGGAGTCTCACCGGATGCGCTGCTCCGTCACGGGGATGCCGAACTCCCGCTCCACGCTGGCGCGCAGCTCGGCGAATGTGGTGCTGGGAAGCAGCGTGAGCGTCGCTTGTCTCCCGTCCGCCGTGGCCGCCCGGATTTTCTTCTCCGGTTCCGGGCGGACCGCCGTTTTTCCGGAACTCGCACCGCCATGAGGAACTTCGTCCAGCACCGCCGTGGTCGTGACCTCCGTGGGCAATGGCTCCTTAGTCTCCTTGCCTTTTTGCTGCTGATGATTCTGCTGCTGCTGCTGCTGCTTGATACGGTCAGTAGCTTTGCGCTGAGCAGAGGGAGCCTTGTCCGATATTCTCCTGGCCACGTCCTGCTCCGCTTGGCTCATCGTCAGCTCCTCCCGGTGCAGCGTCCGCCCCTTAGGCCCCGTCAGGATGATCTTGGATGGCGGTGCTTGCTCCGCATCCGCTTGCATTCTAGGGCTCTCGCAGCTGACGGCCATGCTGCCCTCCTCGGGCTGCCCATCCTCAGTCCGTTCCACTCCGACATCGCCCAACGCCCCGCAGCTCCGTTGACCACTGCCATCGCTCAGCGACACGGGCTGCCGCTGCTGCCCGTCAGCGGTCCTCTTGGCGGTCTGCCGCAGGATGGCATTGACAACCTTCTGCACGAGCAGCTCGCTGCCGAACTCGCCGGGAAAGTGCTTGGCCACGAGCTTGGTCGCCTCCGCGTAGGCATTGCTGTTCAGCGACGCGTCACTCTCATGCTGGAACCAGTAGACGATCTCGCGCACCGTGCTTCCGCCCCACTCCAGCGTCACGGGCAGCTCCTCGGGCAGCCTGTCGTACTCGCCGCCGTCCCAGAAGTGTTTGAAGCCGCAGTCGCAGCGGCCCACGCTGCCGGTGCCGCCGCCGGAAGCCGTCCGCGTGCGGTCGCCGTTCTTGTAGAGCACCGCACCGTCGCCCGACACCACCTTACGCACGGCACTGGCCCCGCACCAGGCGCAGCGCGGCAGCTCGCTCTCGCCGTAGTCGGCTTCCAGGCAGCCGCCGCCGCCGCCGCCGCCGCCGCCGCCGCCCTCCGCCTCCCCGTCCACGTACGAGCACACGACGCCGAAATGCGGAAAGCTGTAGGAGCGGTCGGTGCGCAGCAGCCCGTGCGAGCGTCGCGCCAGCTCGTACAGCCGTCCGCCGGGCGCCAGCCACTCCGCGGGCACGTCGAACTCCAGCAGCGCCTCGCACGACAGGCAACGGTAGAGGCGGCGCTCGCGCAGCGCCAGCGCTGTCGCTCCTGCCACGTCCGCCTCGTCGGGCCGCCGGTACACGTAGTGGCGTGCGTCGGCCACGAGCGACGGGCAGAGGCCGCCGTGCCGCTTGGCGTACACCTCCTCCATGGCGACGACGAGGCGACGCACGTAGCGACCCCGGAGAGGGCGGCTGCCGCCCACGGTGCACGAGCCGTCCTCGTCGAAGTCGACGTAGCGGCGCAGCAGGGCCTGCGGCACGCCCCACGCCTTGGGCACGACGAGGCCCGGCAGGCGGGGCGGTGGGCGGCCCAGCACGCCCACGAGCGGGATGTAGTGGTTGCGGTCGGCGCTGCTCCACGCCACGCACAGCGGCTCGTTCAGCCGGCCGTCGTGGCCACGGCACAGCCGCTCTTCGACGAGGCCTGGACGACGAGAGGGTGGGGGGGGGGGGGGAGCAAAGACGACGGAAGAGTGGAATGTTGAGGTTGGAGGAGGGGGGAGTGTTTTTTTTTTATTGGAAGTTGATAAACACAGGCCCAAACTCTAGTAACACCTTAAATTAAGCAAGGTTATAGAAACTTGGCAAATGAGGGAATGTAAAGTATTTTTTAAAACTGTGCTATAAAAGAGAATGTTTCGTCCTGAAACATTAAAGATAAACATAGCATGGACAAAACAAAACGGTACATATGTCAGACCACATCATTGACATGGGTGGAAGTACCCAAAAATAAAATTAATAAGACCATGGTAGTAGCAATAAAATAGGGATAAGTGACTGAACAACATCAATATTGGCAAGGGTATAAGCTGTGGGTTAGGAACAGACATGGATATAATGACATCTATGGCGAGAATGGCAGAAAAAATATTTAAGAGCTAATAGATTAGCATAAAATAATTATAAAAAATGCCTTTATAGTATGTGCACATATGGGCTTGTGATGGGTGTTGGTGGAGCAGTGGTTACAGCACTGTACTCTGAACCCAGTAACCTGGGTCCAAAGCTTAAATACAACGATGTATAAATAGTTTCATGAATTTATGTGCCTTAGCATAGGTGCTCACTAACAGCGCTTGCCCTAGGAGTCTGCATGACTACAGACCGTGTGATCTTTGAGCTTTTTTGCGTATTGTGAAGAGTAGTTGTGTAGTGGTTAATGCCCTGCACTCTGAACCAGTTGACAAGAGCCTAGTGACCTGGGGTTTAAAGACAACTGGCCAAATCAGTGACACAGGGTATCCAAACCTACCTCACACCTCTGTTAGGATTAAGCTGACAGCTCCTTAAATGAGAATCTGGTACAGCGTGTAAATAAATGTCGACGGGCATTGTCCGAGCGAAACCAAGCGGTCTTGTGCCATGCCAGTCTCAATTGGTGCTCGCCAACAGCACTTGGTTTGTGAGTCATGAGAAGTTGATAGTGTGTGCACTAGAATTTGAGTTTTAAGTCTTGATCTTTGAGTAAGGTACCTTTCTGCGGTAGACGCAACACTGCAGTGTTTGCAAAATCACTGCTCAAGCTGAAGCTAGTGTTATTGTTTGTAGTAGGGATTAAAGTTAATGTAACCACTGGCATTCACATGTGGAACGTATGTCAGAGCAAGCATTGGCGTATTAAGATGAGACTTAAGTTATGGATTGTGTTCATTTTATAAGCTAGGACATAAGTCGAAAAGCCAAAATATATATTTTTTATCATGAATGCTTCTACTTTAATAATGATAAAAGGAACAAAGATACAATCTCCCATTAATGAAGGTTCAAAACTTTGCATGTGACACTGGGGCCCATGGATAATGCCATTGCCCTCCAGAAACAGGCTGGCATTGCAGCGATTCTCGCAACTAGCAGAGTGCCGGGCAGCTAAAACACAACTAGCTGGGACAGTGTGTCACGGTGGTGAGATGTTAACTACCTCGCTAAGGAGGTTGTAAGTTCGATCCAGACCCTGACGCCTGTATATTTGGAGTTTGTGTGTTCTCCCCGTGGACGCGTGGATTTTTCTCCGGGTCCTCCAGTTGTTCCCCTCAACATGTAGAAACATGCGTTGAAGAGTATTTCTCTGCTATACATTTCGACGTGATAAGCCACTACGTTGAGCTATCATTTGTGGCCAGGCTACTTCTGAAAAAGAGCTACAGTGAGGGAAAAAAGTATTTGATCCCCTGCTGATTTTGTACGTTTGCCCACTGACAAAGAAATGATCAGTCTATAATTTTAATGGTAGGTTTATTTGAACAGTGAGAGACAGAATAAAAACAAAAATCCAGAAAAACACATGTCAAAAATGTTATAAATTGATTTGCATTTTAATGAGGGAAATAAGTATTTGACCCCCTTTCAATCAGAAAGATTTCTGGCTCCCAGGTCTCTTTTATACAGGTAACGAGCTGAGATTAGGAGCACACTATTAAAGGGAGTGCTCCTAATCTCAGCTTGTTACCTGTATAAAAGACACCTGTCCACAGAAGCAATCAATCAGATTCCAAACTCTCCACCATGGCCAAGACCAAAGAGCTCTCCAAGGATGTCAGGGACAAGATTGTAGACCTACACAAGGCTGGAATGGGCTATAAGACCATTGCCAAGCAGCTTGGTGAGAAGGTGACAACAGTTGGTGCGATTATTCGCAAATGGAAAAAACACAAAATAACTGTCAATCTCCCTCGGCCTGGGGCTCCATGCAAGATCTCATCTCGTAGAGTTGCAATGATCATGAGAACGGTGAGGAATCAGCCCAGAACTACACGGGAGGATCTTGTTAATGATTCTAGATTTAAAGCTTTCGTGACTGCAAGGATCCATACTCTTTGGTTCTATTCGGTAAAGTCACGTAGGTAAAAAAACAAATATCACGACGTTTCGGCCACAGCACAAGCGGCCTTCATCAGGTGAAGGGACCAGACTATCTCGAGGACAGCGCTGGAGTGAAACACAACCACGCTCAGACCGCGACCTTTAAGCTGTGTGCGAGGAAACAAGGTGCCTTGACAAAGGAATTAGCATAAAATTAGCATTTGATTGGCCGACTTAGCATGATGAACGGAAACACGGCAGAACAGAATGAAACACGGCAGAACGAATTCTTCTGCCGTAGCTGATCACTGTTACAACGCTGTAGGTGATCACAATATAATTTTCTCCGATACCAAGGTTCTTTGCAAACCCACGGGTTTTTATCAGAGATTTGTTCACGAGGCAATTCAGATCTATAAACACAGACACAATTTCAACCGAGAAGATGGTTTCAAATTAAGCAACCATTGGAAAGATTTTGATTTAAAGCTTTCGTGACTGCAGTAATTCATATTCTTAGTTTTTTCGGTAAAGTCACGTTGAAGAGAAACAACTAAATAATGAAATATATATAAAACAATAAAAAAAATTCTCACGACGTTTCGACCATAACTCAAACGGTCATCTTCAGGTGTGTTGGTTTTTTTTATTGGTTTATATATATTTTATTATTTTGTTGTTTCTCTTCAACGTGACTTTACCGAAAAAACTAAGAATACATTGGAAAGATGTTCTAAATCGAACCAAACATTAAACTAATTTTCAATGGTACAGTATATTTTTTCAGGTAGTGGTACCCCAAACTTTCGCAGCTCTTAAAAAATTCCCTTTTCACACCATCAATAGGTAAACTCCCCCTCCCCCCCTCGCCAACCGGCATGTTCAGCCGCATGTACACCACCTCTACACCGTTCATCATGCTAAGTCGGCCAATCAAATGCTAATTTTTTCATGCTAATTCCTTTGTCAAGGCACCTTGTTTCCTCGCACACAGCTTAAAGGTCGCGGTCTGAGCGTGGCTGTGTTTCACTCCAGCGCTGTCCTCGAGATAGTCTGGTCCCTTCACCTAATGAAGGCCGCTTGTGTTGTGGCCGAAACGTCGTGATTTTTATTGTTTTATTTTTTACCTACGTAACTTTACCGAATAGAACTTGTCAATGATCTCATGGCAGCTGGGACCATAGTCACCAAGAAAACAAATGGTAACACACTACGCCGTGAAGGACTGAAATTCTGCAGCGCCCGCAAGATCCCCCTGCTCAAGAAAGCACATATATATGCCGGTCTGAAGTTTGCCAATGAACTTCTGAATGATTCAGAGGACAACTGGGTGAAAGTGTTGTGGTCAGATGAGACCAAAATGGAGCTCTTTGGCATCAACTCAACTCGCCGTGTTTGGAGGAGGAGGAATGCTGCCTATGACCCCAAGAACACCATCCCCACCGTCAAACATGGAGGTGGAAACATTATGCTTTGGGGGTGTTTTTCTGCTAAGGGGACAGGACATCTTCACCGCATCAAAGGGATGATGGACGGGGCCATGTACCGTAAAATCTTGGGTGAGAACCTCCTTCCCTCAGCCAGGGCATTGAAAATGTATCGTGGATGGGTATTCCAGCATGACAATGACCCAAAACACACGGCCAAGGCAACAAAGGAGTGGCTCAAGAAGAAGCACATTAAGGTCCTGGAGTGGCCTAGCCAGTCTCCAGACCTTAATCCCATATAAAAACTGTGGAGGGAGCTGAAGGTTCGAGTTGCCAAACGTCAGCCTCGAAACCTTAACGACTTGGAGAAGATCTGCAAAGAGGAGTGGGACAAAAATCCCTCCTGAGATGTGTGCAAACCTGGTGGCCAACTACAAGAAACGTCTAACCTCTGTGATTCCCAACAAGGGTTTTGCCACCAAGTACTAAGTCATGTTTTGCAGAGGGGTCAATTACTTATTTCCCTTATTAAAACGCAAAAAAAATTATAACGTTTTTGACATGCGTTTTTCTGGATTTTTTTGTTGTTATTCTGTCTCTCACTGTTCAAATAAACCTACCATTAAAGTTATCGACTGATCATTTCTTCGTCAGTGGGCAAACGTACAAAATCAGCAGGAGATCAAATACTTTTTTCCCTCACTGTATATAGCTCAGTGGGTGTTATCTGGTCAAATAAAAATAATCTAGTTCATAGTTTAGTTTAGTGTGGAGCACAAGTGGAGCATCACCCATCTTAGCCAGTTAGTTCATCCATAACACCTGCATCTGTCCCGTGGGCTTCTACCAACAAGCCTTCGGGCACTGTACGTGGCCTCAAAGTGTGCCTAGCCTGGCACAAGCACTGTGGTGACATCACCGTCGCTTGGCGGCGCACGGTGGCTGTTGTAGTTGTTGCCATTGTGCAAGCGCACATTACCGGGCAGGAAGGTGGCAGAGTAGTCCCCGGGGCTCTGCATGCCCTCCCAGGAGTCGAGCAGAAGTATCGGCCGTCGCAGCACGTTTGCGAGTCCAAAAATATGGATATTGCGCAGGCCCAGGGGCACTCCCTCGGGCGGAACAAACGCCGGGTCGCACTCGCTCACGATGTCCTGCCACTCGCACGTGTCCACAAACTCGCGGAACAGCTCCTTGTAGCGCTCCAGGTTGTCCCGGAAGTGCGCCTGTCGGAGGCATCACATACCATCGTGGTGTCACGAGCGATAACGCCATGAACGTATCGATCTACGGCGAACTCTCAATTGCATATTTTTGAAGATGCAAAAATATGGAATGTATTGTTTGCCTTCACAGTGGGGGGGGGGGGAGTGGGGTGAAGATTCTGACAGCATAATTGGAATAGGAATAGAAAAGAGAGAAGAGGAAAAAATTACGAGCAGCACGCTCACCTTGAGGTTCTGCCGGAGCGCGTGCCAGAAGAGCTCCCAGCCGACGAGTGCACGTGACACTGCGTGCACCAGGCAGTGTCCGTCCATCTCCGCGTGGATGGGCACCAGCCGCTCCTCGTCCCCGTTAGCAACAGCGATCAAACGAAGAGTCTCCTGCAAGGGGGGGGGGGGGGGAGTACACTCTTACAAAGTATACTCAGATGGTACACGGAAACTCTCACCGTGATAATTTATCAAATGCCCAGAGGGAGGTGAATCATTACATGGTCAACATCTACAATGAGCACACTCCTACTTTACATAAGCACAACTCCCTTCTGTGTCTCCACGTATAAATTAAAACATACTTCGTCCTACAGTGCTATTTATTGCCTTATTAGAACAACATTGTCCAACAGCATTTGTTTAAGCAATAAAACTGGATCGGTTTCGACCTTCTGGATCTCATCGATAGTCAGATTTGCTAAACAAACGTTTCTCGGTTGCAAGTTATTATTGGCAAGAGCAACCATCTAAACTATGGGACTCCTGATCAATGCTAAAAAAAACCTTTCATGTAAAGTCAAGCGTTATTGGGAAGCATTATGGATTAAGTCATATAGAAGCAGAACTCAGTTCTGTATCTTAGAATATAGTTTTTTAGTTCAACTTGCCTATCGACTTTCCAGACCAATATCATCCGAGCGCTCGCACTCCGAGTACGCATTGACACGAGGCACGCGCTTGCGGGAAAACTATCGAGGATGGCGGGGGGGGGGGGGGGGGTAGGCAACGCACACGCAGGTACACCATGCTGCCGGAGCGGTCCCTGCCGTATCCCTCCACGGCCAGGTTCTCCGGCTCGATCCGGAAGCCGCGGTCGCCCAGCACGGCGCAGTCGAACGTGCTGCCCTGGCCCATGTCGCTGAGCAGGCGGGCGCGCCCCGTCGCGCGGTCCATGCCGTGCGCCGTCAGGATGGGCGACAGCAGCTTGCACTGGTAGTTGCAGAGCCCGTCGACGCGCGCGAGCGGGGCGATGGGCTTCCTGCCGCCCAGCGCGCCCGTGCCGCTGCCACCCGTCAGCAGGAAGTTGCGGAGGAGGTTCTGGAGGGTGGCCTGCTGTGGAACGAGAGCGGCACCGAGTGTTCATTGCGAGTCGCCTCTCGAAGGCGGCCGCGACAAGTCAACGGTGCAGCGAGGGTATAGAGATAGGGTACTGCGCTTTGTCGTACGATATAACATCCACGATAACTGTATCGGCTGTTCTGCAAGATATCACTGTAGGGATTGTCATATATTTTATGATTGCAATATTGTAGCTTCTTACACAAAATTATAAAATAACTAAAGCATCATGCTTGAAAGTTCAAAATACAATTCCATCGACCATTTGTCTTTTTTTTTTTTTTTATAAATGTCTCTCAGAGTAACTGATGGCGCTGTGGTTATATGACATCATAATTTTAGGAGCCACTGTAATTACTTAGTCGTTTCATGCGTCAATAAAAGCATGTGTACCATAAGCATTGTAGATTGTTGAGTTGCGATGATCAAAATACTTATGGTTACAAGATATTTAGTGAACTGCAGTTGAATAACGTTTTAAGTCATATTTGTTAAGACTGGTAATCCCGCAAAGCACAAAAAATATACACAAACATTTACAATTACATAAACGGTTATGGGAAACTGATGTATTGATTATCATCCTGAAATAAAGATTTATAAATAATCATGAACAACAATATCATAGCAAACCTATGAATGATGATGACTGGCCATTCATTTTTGCTATTTGAGTCACTCCAAATTGGCATATACACAAAAAATGTGAAGAACACAAAGCCGTAATAATGGAACTTGGTGGAAAAGATGTTGTTGAATATGCTGATGACTGGCCCTTGATTTCTGTTTGTCTATAGATCACTTAAAGTGTTCGCAAATGGAGGGAAAAACTAAAAAAAGTCAGATCAAAAGCCTAAACCGTTGGTTACAATGATTGCTGTTTTTATAATTATGACCCTTGGTTTTTTGTTTATTAATTGAATAGTATCAATGTTGGTAAGTGGAAAAAGATCATTTGATGACCACAGTCTCAAAATTGATGATAATAACAACGATGAGGGTGAAAAATTAACCGTGCCTCCTTTCTCAAATGATCAATGAGTGGTGCTCATCTCCATTGGTGGAGATGAACAAGTGGAGCAAAGTCTACATTCCGAAATCTATCCCTCGGACAGCCACTGTTGACTTCGAAGCGAGTGGGGTGTAAGCCTCAACAGCAGGTGGTGCACATTTTACCATCCTCAGAGGGATGATGTTGGTGGTGATCCAAGACAACACTTGACCAGGATTTTGTATTCACACATTCATCAATTGGAGACCACCTGCTCGAAGATCAGAACTGTATTGTAGCTTGTTATGAAGTCAATGGTTTATTTGCAGAGATATGTTGCAAGCTTTTTCTAGCATCAACAGTCTTAGAATAATCACAAAATTAGCTCTTCTTACGCAAGTGCATGTCCGCCGGGGAAGGACCATACGCACACATAGCGCAGCCATAATTCACTCATGTTATCCATACCAAAAAAGCATGTGCAGGGCAAGCCCATATAAGGTAACTCGAATGCTTCTTGGTCAACCCACTGGCTTGCCACTGAGCCACTCTATATACAGGTTGGCTGAAGAAAAACTCCAGACACCTGGCAATGCCAGAAAATGGTTTCTCGAACATTCGAAAATTCGTGTCAAAAGTGAAAACTAATTAGAAAATGATAACTCTCATAATAACCCCCCCCACCCAACCAGATTTAATACATCAGGTGTTCATCGCGTCATTTAATATTATATCAAGGATTAACGACGAGGGGAGGATTGGGGTCTCTGCTTTCCGGAGGATAAAATGAGGGGGTACTTTAGAAGTGGCATTGCCTGTTAATTAGGTTTGGAACAATGAAACTGTGCATTGGTGAATATCGATATATGACCCAAACCAATACGTGATTTAAGTGCTTGCCGTAAAAATGTACTGTAAGGCGATGCAACGTCTGCAAAACCTAACGTTAATGATATTCTAATTTTAGCATTGCATGGACCGACATGGCACAGGGAGACAATGTAATGGACACAGAATTTGATTAATAAAATGTAACAAAAAATATAGTGTGAATGCAAGACAAAATTTACAGAAGGTGAAGGTATCAACAAGACATTACAAAAACAGGAAGCACATATTAAATCTGTACTCTCCTCTCAATCCAGACGAGATGATGAGAGGGTGGCATTTCATAATATCAAATATTATGAACAACATTTCCATTATCCATAACTGGGAGTACCTTTTGGATTCCACAGTAGAATCGCCAACCAAGAATGGATGCAATACATCAAATCGTCAGGGAGTCAAACCGTTCCAGCCCTGTTTTGGTAACTGTACTAAATGTTATAATTCTCCACACAGGCTGTGGTGGAAGTTAAGACATTTATTAAACTAAACAACGCATTAGGGCTAGTAGCTGTACTAAACGTCATATCCTCCACACAATGAACGGAGGATGATGTTCAATAATCTTGTCTTATCTAGGAAGCATTTAATAAAAATACACCAAATATAACTACATACAGGATAGGTAATAAGCATTAATGTGGTGCACGCACATGTAACCTTGGTTTTCACATGTACTGCCTTTAGCCAAGTGTGTGCTCGGTGGCACGTGGACACATGTTGCTGTGTTGCACATTGGTGAAGGGAACAACTTCAGCTCCCAGAAGCCAATAATTTTTGGCCAGTGTCCTCCAATAAAAGGCCCGCAGGCCACTGGCGGCCCCCGACAATATATGTTAAAACACCCATCACCATGCTGTCAAACCCAGTGGTTTCAAATGTGTGGTGGCCCTACAACTGATGTCTTCCTGAAAATTATATGACGGAGGTAAGACTATTTAAACACAACGCACATACTCGGCACGACGTCAGAATTTCGAACAGGCTTAACAAGTTCACACTCCAGGAAAAAGGTACAAGCACAAAGTATTGTGAGATTACGAAGTTGATCTTTCATGGCTTATACAGATACATGAATAGTGTATTTAATATGCGTCTTCCTATCAATACAATTATATTACCAATTACTTACCCAGGAAAAGACTCAATGAGTCTTCAGACTGTTTTTTAGGCAGGCCCTACCTTGGAATGCTTGGATAATTCTATTGACGAGTTTTTTTTTTATGTGGCAGGCAAACAGGAGATACCCAGAGAACACAAATGCATAACAGGGGAGGTACAACTTGACACTCCGACACTCTGGCCACCTCGCAATCCCACACCTACAACTCCTGGCAAGCCACGGTGGTCACCCATCTCGGTGCTAACCAGGCCCAAATACACTTCTGAGCTCTAACGATACTGGCGCATTTACAGCAATTTTAGACAACGTGCACCTTGAAGATCGATACATGTAAGGAAAGAAACTGAATTATACATACGTGAATAGCATTGATTGAGTAGTTGCCATTTTCTTTCCACATCAAGACTGTTGGCACTTGGTCTGCCTTTCAAAGCGGAACAATCGATGCCCGGCTAGCCGCAGTAAAGCAAAGGCATTCATAACCATGTAGAGTACTTCAGTGCATTATAGCCCCCTCAGGAAGGACAAGTCAGACAAATATAACATACAAGTCCAAGGTCAGAATAAAATATAGTTAAATTCATTCTAAGGGCAGCTGTTAAAAATTCTGATTCTGACTCTAATCCACCTTTTATATTTTACTTGGACATATGACACCCACCGTCAGGATACAGATGCATTCAGCTAGTTTATCACGTCTGGGTTCATACGAGTAAAGACTAGGGTGTGTTAACCTTCATGATGAGAGTTCACAATTATATTCATGAGTCGATTCCTCTTTTAATTAACACCGTGGTGGTATGTTGCAGCCTCTAGAAGTTGGAAGGAGCCACCATCAATCCACTGCATACAACACATACTAGTCGAACAAAGACCGATTTTTACAGGTGTATATAGCATGAGGTTGATGTGTGTGTGTATATATACAGTGCGAGCATAATCAATATTAATCTATGTATTGTTACACCCTGAGTAGAGATGCTGATGTCACCTAGTGTTAACACCCGAGCCTGTGTGGTGCCACTGTGCAGTCACCACTCATGATGTCGCACCTCATGACAATTTTATTTCCATGGTTAACATTTAAGTTTTGTCTCTGAAGCGCCAACGCGTCTTATATATGAGGAGCGACCAAACGATCTCACCCGAGGAGCCACGAACCAAAATCCTCATATGGCCGAGAGTCGCACAAGGCATGTGCTGAGTAGGTCACGTGGGTTGATCGTGTGGGATGTTCATACGACCGCTTGGCTGTGGAGTTTTGAATTTTGCAATCTGCAGGAGCACCTCAGGAGTACCCATCGCTGGCTCAGCTGCCAGAGGAAAGTGCTCTGGGCTGCTCCCTCTTCCAAAGAGATTTGCTGTTTTAAACAAACCTATCATTGACAAGTGAAAAATCAGCTGCGCATCTATAAAGTGGCATGCACTTAAACTGGCTGGGAGCCACATGTGACATGCAAGCCACGGTTTGGCCACTATTGTTACAGTAATCATAAACAAGCACTCCGATGCTGAAGCACTGTACATATCACTTCCTCCCACCCACACCATGCATTCAATTATTTCACTTCCTCTCCTAACCGTGTAATATTTCTTGTTTGTGAATGAAGCCACATTTACCATGACTCAATCCATTGACAAATATTCACTAAATTTCCTCCTAATGGCAAGTTTGAATCAAGCCGAGCCCACATAAAAACACATGCATGCACACACACACAGACATACAATAACACATACAATAATCTGGCCACGACCAACAAGCTACTTCTTCCCTATAATCATCTGGATGTGGAATCAATGTAAAGGTTAACGAACCTTTTAGAAATCCAACCAAATCAACCATAGTGAGACAAATCTCATCATAACTTAGAAGCTAAACAGCGTTAAGCTGGTTGGTACTTGGGATATTACGTGTGAATAACATATTTGGTAAACTTGAACTGTGAGGTGGCCAGGATATGACATCACAGCAATGGATTATTACATCTG